ACCCCAAATGTTAATTATGAACATGAACTCAAACTCCATGATTTTTAAACGAGGAAGAAACTGTTGATTTTATATAAGATTCATTTTCATGAAATCAATATACAAAATTATATTTAAATTCAAAATAATTATATCGTTATGAGGACATTAATATAGCTATTTCCCGAATAATTATATATCAACCCAAAACTTTTAACACACACAGACACACACACTCCCTTGTTTGCTTTCAGCTGAGCTTGTTTATAGGTCCATATGAGCTTTTTAAATAAAACTTAAAGAGTATCCAAAATTAAGCCCTGGATTACACTTGTGATGTAAAATATACCGAAAACACAAATTTTACACGTCGAATGCTCCTGTTTAGATATAATTTTAACCACTTTATAGCCATATTGTCAAATGTAATCGATCAATTTCTCTAAATGATATCACGATTCGCCTAATTACATGCTTTACAAAAATTTGTAAATATAAACATAATATAAAACCGATTAATCAATCACGACTTATTGCATTTGCCGAACTTCTTGTGAATTTTGTTAAAAGTTTGTTTGGGAGTTTTGTATGAAGGTTGATGAATATGAAGTTTTCTAAATCCTGATTTGGATTGGGTTTTATTCTATTAAGAGCGCATCTATTAGAAAGCCATACAAAATGTGGTGGGAGCAAGGTTCTCTTGACAACCTTATATTTTGTATGTTACAATATGTAGATATATCAAATACTTTGCTGTAAAAACAAAAAATTGTGTTCACACTTGATTGGGTTCTGCAGCAATGTTACTTAAAATAACATTTTCTTTCTTAAACGCTGAAAATTATGTGAATTTCGCCCACTCCTTTTTACAAATCCTTTCGAAGATGAATCGTGAATAAAAAAAAAACTCAATCACCCTGAATTATATTAAGAAACACTACTTTTAGTCATTTGACGAAACTCCGAAATCCTCCTTCTCTTTAAGTGCAGAAAGGTCACCAGTTTGGCATATTTCCATACTTTTCATAATGGTGAAAATAACCAATTTTCAAACATCAGCTAAAAGAAATCATTTAGAATTACAGTATATCAAAAATATGCTTTTAGACTCTCAGTAATGCTGGAGATATTTGTATTTAAAGAAAGGCATTTTTTTGCTTTTTGACCTCTCCCTGATAAAGGGTTGATCATTGAATATACATCTTTGTATGTATCTTTAGGATATAAAGTACAAAAATCAGCTATTTGATTAGACATATTTTTTTTAGCTATGATATTGATTCTTCTTGTTTTATGTCATGCACAATACTATACTGATACATGTACTACATCTGAGTAACAATTTGCTATTAATAATGGCTTTTACAATAATTTTCACTTTGAAATGGAACAAAGACCCACCATTCATTATATCAAAATATCTTAATCGTGCAAATCTTATTTCAAAGTTGATATCAAAAATATATGTACATTATGAAATCAAGTCAATTAATTTGTTTTTAAAATCTTTATCGAAGTGAGTATAATTATACATGTTTGTTAACGATTTAACACACCAATATCATGAATTGTGTATAAGGATATATAATTAATTTGAACTCTAACATTTGACTGAGCAATCAAATGATATAATATTGTCATTTTATAGCACTATAAACTAATGTTCGAAATATTAAATATAATTAAATAGGAGAGAGAATGCTTGTGAAAATATAATCATAAATAAATAATGCAACATATTTATCATTATAAATGTAAGAGCAATTAATTTTTTTTCATAGTCGAGAAGTACTATTTAAGAACCTACGATCATGCACCAAACATGCTATTTCCTACAATAATTTGTTTTCAGGGAAAATAGTACCCCAATAGGTGTCAACTGTGGACCTGTCGGCCTTTGTTGTGATGGGTAAGATTTAGCAATTTGATGTCGACCTGTCGACCTTTATTTTGAGGGATAAGAGTTTACAAATTAGGTATCAACTGTCGACCTGTCGACCCATTTATAGAAAAAAACTCTTCTTGTGAACTATTTTTTTGAACGCATTTATTTGACATAATAAGGCAAAACACTTTTTTGTTTTATAAAGGGAACTATTTCTTTCCTTATTTTAAATTTGAAAGATGTTAATCGGTGTTACAGAATTACTTTTTCCGCTAGTTGAACCGAAATATGAATCAAATTATTTCTCTGTCAGATAAGTGCCTTATTTCCTTACTGATGCCTTAGAGGAAAGATGGTCTACTGAAAATTAAAAATTAATGAAAAAAATGTATGATGAACTTGGGTTATGGGTGTTAACGATTGGTTCCCTTTTATAACCAAAAAGGAAGAACAATAATAAAATGTGGAATCAAAGAGAAAACTGCCGTCTCATTATTGCAAAAACAATGCCTGAGCTCCAAACGTGTTATACAGGTTTTCTCTTTAGTCACGAGGTCCGATAATGCATGAACCTTAACCCAAAAGAATACCCATCAATTGTAGTTTTTATATTAAAACTGCACTGAGGAAAGTTCAGCAATTTTTCTGTGCGGGAAGTCCAAATGCCGGTTCCCGGTTTAATTTTCTTGTGTCTTACAACGCCACTACAAATAGGCAGAGAAGATGTAAACGGAATTTTGAAGAAAGGAACGTTTACAGTCATCCTACATATTTGGAAGATCTTAGTCATTTTGAATTTCTTTTCTTATTCAAAAACTGACAAGAAAACAATTAGAAGCTTTTGAAACGCATTAAAGTTAACAGGGAATACTTTGAAGAATTAAATATATATACAGGGTGTATCATAATATGTTACATTTTGGATCTTTAAAAAAAAAAAAAAAAAAAAAAAAAAAGATACATACAAGTGTTTACTTTAATTTAATGCATGGATCCATAGATTCATTATGTAAAATTACCAACCAAAATATCAAACACTGGACAAAATCTCAACCTTTAACGAAAGTAAGCAAAATTTCTAAATTGCGTCATTTTTGTTACGTTGAATTTCACAACGTCAAAGCCTCACATTACATGTTCTAAATCATCTTTGCCTATTTCAACTACTAAAGAAAGTTGCTCATGAAAATTTTTATAACTGTTGTCGCACATTTTTTGGTGAGATACTCCTCATATTTTGTGTAATGTTCTTTATGATCTCATTCAGTATCTGGGATCTAGGATTGAAGACCCTGTTCTTGAGAAACCTCTATAGAAGAAGGCTTAAAGATTGAGATCTGTCAAATGCAGGCGCAAAACTCTTTCTTTGGGGCGTTGCATAATTGAGAATTTATATGTTGATAACTTCATATCATATTTCAAATTTCAATGCACACACAAAATGCTGATATTTCTAGCCTCAATTTCTGAAAACATCTATTTCACACCTTTTTGTAGAGTTTGCTGCATTATTGAATGAATGTATACTTGGACGGGAGGGTGGTGCCATGTTGGGGCTCATAGGTCAACGGACAGACCTACGGACTAAGCGTAAGTGGTATGGTAATGTTAAGCCAGCCAATGAAAAGTACTTTTACATGTATATCCGGGACCATGAATACCCTCTGAGCACAAAATACCCTGTTTTGCCGGAAAACAGCATTCTATTCTATTCTCTTTTCTGTGACTTTTTTGGAATACTTTTTGGACTCTAATTTTTTTGACCTCACCTAATTATTACCTTTGGGACGGATCTTTAAAACTTTTGCTACAACTAGAGTATTGGTCTATTCTGATGAGATTTCAGAAACTAGCATTTAAAAATCTATACGATCACGGTAGTTTAATAAACTTTTCAAGAAACTTACAAATTTTGTTATTGGCTTACAATGGCAATCGGTTTCAAATTGGTCTTTTCGACTAACTGCTCACTCCAGGTGAAACCCTAAGACTTTCTTTTACCACTGGAGGTATTTTTGATTGATTCTTTAGGGCTTATACTGAATGCCATAATTCATTCTGATTTGTTGTTTCTTCTGCATCTTTAACAAATTTATTAATACTAAGGCTTCTTTCATGGGAATTGAAATTTTCATAAATAGCCTCTGTGCCAATTCTTTTATGTCTTTGAGAAACTGGATCTTGTTGTTTTGTGTCATGGACACAATCCAAAACTTTGTGACACTTCTCAGGGATGACCACTACAGATGTCTTTTGCATTTTGACGCCATCCATGTCTAGCATCAGTTAAAATATTGATGCCATCCAAGTCTTCATAACTCCCGATTTCTTCATGTAGAGCATCTTGGATGGAATCTTGATATTCAGCCTCAACAGATTTTGTATTCTCCAAAAATTGTTTCCTCCTGACCAAGTTGATGCCCCCTAATCCACTTCCATAAGAAAATCTTGTGTAAAGAGATTGTAGCACTACACATGAGGCCATGACATACATGTATTCAGTGGTTGACCAGATATTCATCTTTGGACAGATATGGTTAGAACAAAACGATCCTTAATTGGATATGGGGTTTCCATGTGGAACAGGGAGGGGGGGGGGGGGTTACATATAATGGGTAACAAAAGAGAGAAAAACTGTAAGTTCACACGAACATTGTTATTTTTTTTAGTCATTTTTTTATTTTCTACCTAAGTTAAAAGTATTATATTACAATTTAAAAAGAAAATTCTTTGTTTGATCCTACAAGTATGACAAAACTTCAGAAACTAACAAATCATTTTCTCATCACCGCATTTATCATGTGCAAGGGAGGGGGGAAGACTTCCCACAACATCATCAATTAGTATCTAAACTATTATCATAAATTAGAGATAATTTTCCATCTAAGTGTTAGTTTATTTTGTAAAGAAAATGGGGAAAAGCAGGGATTAATTTTGAACGTGAGTGAAATGTAAATAGAGACATTAGATCATATCTTTCTGCATAGGACTTGGATTTTTACCCTCTTGATTCGTCACAGTATGAGAAATTTTGACGGGAACACGTGCAAGATAAAAATGTGTAAAGATATATTAACAGTAACAGAAAGGAATTGTCTCTCTGCATTTCAGAGGACAACAATAGGCAATTAGTATGATGGGAAGTAAAACCATTCAGACCGCCCTATCCCCGGAATTCAAAATTACGACAGGAGGGAAACAGATTTTGGCCAATGCTTTACATCGTGGAGTATGGAGTGATCCCCTGTGTACCAAAAAGGCAAGCTTTAGAACATTATCAGCCAGGACAGGAATGGCAGAGACTTAACACTATGCCAACATTATGTGAATATTGTTGAGTATATACCAAATCCAAATGTTTACAACGCATGGGTCATTTGTCATGTTTGTGCGAATATTTTTTAGCTGATAATCTATCAAATCAACATTTTTTTTTTATTACTTTTTAGTTGATAATCTATCAAATCAACATTTTTTTATTACTTTTTAGTTGATAATCTATCAAATCAACATTTTTTTATTTCTTTTTTTATTAGCCATTTATAATATAGAAAATATAGTGAGGATTTTATAGCTATTCTGATATTCTGATATCGATAAAGATGTAAAAAAAAACTTTATTCTATCGATTTTATCTTTTGGAGGTTGTATTTATCTAGAGATGAAAGTAAGTCAAACATTGCATCATTCTGGCTTTCTTACTACCGTGCCTGCATGTGATGTAAACAACATCCGGTGTAACAATAACAAACTAAGTCACGCCCATTGCTGTCAGTTTTGAATTTCAAATAGAAATAGAAACCCTGCTTTAAATATTTCAATGAAAATTACAGCTAAGAAAAAAAATCAATGTAAATTAAATTGATGACCAAAATGCACACTGTTGAGAAGAGCTAGCATGGCAAAAAATATGATGATAAAATAGAATCAGTATTTCAATATTTTGTAAATAATTCCATGCAATCTGAATGTACCTAGAAAATCAAATAAACAAAATGTAAAGATTGTTTGGGCAACCTTTCATATTATCAGTTTTTATGTGATGAAGTAACTAATTTGTATGTTACTATAAACACTGTTCAAAAAACCTGAACCCAAAATATACCTGGTATGTTTTTGTTCCCTTCTGATTGTGAAGACGAAATAAAAAAAAAAATGAATGAAATGCAAATTCAAAAAAAAAAAAAAAAATGTATGAAATTAACCATGAAATTTGCTGATCTCTTTCATTCATTGAATTACTTTTTTTGATATATTAGGGTATAATTTAAAAGTGTAGTAGGGAGAACTGTCTTTTTTTTATTTATGTTTTGAACAACATATTCATGTGCGCAGGGTAAGTGTATATCGTGTCGACAGGGTGTCACATGACAAGCGCAATCTAAATTTACCTGCGAGGATCAGATTTTGACAGATCATTGAAGGTAAATACAGATATGTAATAAATAATTCATACTTCTTCAAATTGATGCATGTAATTAATATTAAAAAAATATTGGTTACCTGAGTTCAATAAGAGGCAAACATTGAGAAAAAAATTAAGCTGATTTGTCTTAAATGTTATGGATACATATTATGTGTGCATTTCAAAATCGAAAGTAAAATTTTTTTCGGAAATTTGGAAACGCCATTAAAGCAAATGCTCATACTTCCCCGATCTTTAAAAGAACATATATATATATATATATATATATATATATATATATATATATATATATATATATATATATATATATATATATATATATATATATATATATATTATGTATTTTGCATGTTTGGATACTTTTGTCGACAGGGTGTCACATGACAAGCGCAATCTAAATTTACCTGCGAGGATCAGATTTTGACAGATCATTGAAGGTAAATACTACCACTTATACGAGCCTGGTCTCGGATAAGTGAGTTTATTTCAGTAACCCTAGTAATTTTTATCTATTCCGGATAAGTTACGTACATTCGGATAAATATAAATTTTCACCCTTAGTCACAAGCTATCATTCCGGATAATTTAGGTCCATTTGTATATAGTCTAATAATAAGTTCTTTTCTACCTCCTTTCTAGAAGAATCAATTAAACGGTAAGGTCATGGAAAATTTTTGGGAGTTAAATTGTGGCAATGTTTTAAATTTTTTAAATCAAATAAGTTTGATTTTTAGTATAACTATTGAGGTTTGTAGTTTCAAAGCAAATTAGACGTATCGATGGCGAAGTTTGACTTTGGATTTGGCCTGATTGGACTTTTTCGTAAATTGAATTGATTTTACGCGATGTTGTATTTTGTGAGACTTTACAGGTAACAGGAATATATTAAGATCAGTTTGGGGGTCAAATGATTGTTTAACTTGAGTTATTATTTTTAGGAGCGAAATGTTAAACTTCGAGTCCATCATAGCTATAACGGGGGGGGGGGGGGGGATAATTTCATAAAACACGGAATATTCTCAGAAGCTGGGCTTACTAGAAGGATTTTAGTTTGTTTTCTACATAGATTTATCGTGCTCGAAGGAGGTATATTGATTCGCATTTTACAAAATGTAATCGTCGTTAAATCGGAGAAAGCATTCACGAGAATTTGTGCACTTTCACTTTTCAAGTAATCAAAGTACTGTGTGTACTGAGAGGAGGTTTATTAAATTGTGTAAGTGTTATGCTCTATTTGCAGACTTGTATCATTTCATTTGTTTGTTGGTCTTTTGAAAAGGTTTGGAACAGAACTGTTTGTCATCTTTTCCTTTTTTTTTTTTTTTTTTTTTTTTTTTTTTTTTAAGAAAACACAAAGGTGTAAGGTTTTATGGATGATATTGTATGAACTGATTTTCCTATTACATTATGGGATGGGAGTTAACTTGTATATTATGTTACACAACATATGGGAGCTCATTTGGTCCACATGGTCAATTTCTGCATAAAAATCCAACTAATGAAAGCAAAATCACAGTTTATTGAAATAGGATGAAAACATTTCTTATTAAATTTGCAAGCATTTGTCTCACAGTGAGCAGTCAAACTGCAGCAAAGCTGTGGAAAAGTATTCTTCATATGCATTAGAATAGGTAGGCAAATTTGCAGGGTTCAGGCACAAGCAAGGAGCAAATTATATTGGTACAAAAGGCAGTAAGTACATAAAAAACCTTAAGTAATTGATAGTGATTACAGATGTATGTTACCATAATTATTTATTTTCAGGTACATTACCAAAAACAGGTCAACATTTTTAATTTCATTTTTTTAAGACAGCTTTATCAGTGAGTCAACAGCTGCAATGGGCACAACATTCCTTTCCATCAAAGCATGACCTTATCACTTCCCCAGTAATTCATTAGAATAGTAATTAAAGATTTGCAAAAAAGAAACAAGTAGGAAATGTTGCAGTTGTGCTAATACTAGATATAAAAGTGGAATTGGCAAATGATATAGATCCTAATCCAGCTTCAATTAATCGCAGCTATTAGATTACATTCTAGGGAAAAGTATAATTTGGTTAAGCGAGTCTTTGTGTGAAAGGGGGGGGGGGCATTTTCAAATAAACTGGTAATTTTTTTTAAAAAAGATGGTCAAAATCAAATTGGTTCCTCGTCTCCGTCGGATGGACTAGTTCTGATATTTAGTTAAGCTATTAGAGCACTGTGATAGGCAGATTAATAAAAGTGATTGGTCAGGAGTCTCACTAGGATAAGCAGCACCCAGTACTTGCTCCGTATGTTGCTTATCAGGCTATCTTTGAATGGATAGTCTGCTAATGTGTTCGACGAGACGGGGAAACAAAGCTTGTCAAATAATCAGTTAAATTATATATGAATCAATTATTATTATTATTTAAAGATTTAATAGGTTGATATGAAATTGCAATATTGAATTTACTAGTACATAAGAAAAGTCAAAACCAAGGAGTTAATAATGTGTTGTCAAAACAATATTGATCCATTTATTTAAGGTACACTGACATTCAATTTTAAGCTAATCTGGTAAGGGATATCCAAGATATCTCCAGAAGTATGCCTTATAAAGTATACCAGTTTTTTTCCACCGCACATACCCATGGACAAAGAGTTGCAACGTACTCAAGAATTTGTTTTCTCGGATATTTTATTGTGTTTATCTATTTTATTGCACACCTATGTCAGTGTCTAATGGGGATTTAAGCCTTGAAACTAATTTTATCATTCTGTTTAATTTTTACCAAATACATGTATAATTGTGTGTAATACACAATGGTCCACGATTATACCTTAAATTTCCCAGAGATAAAACTACTCCCTTACAGATATTTTTTGAATGCTCAGAACACTTAGTATCGCAATTACCTCGAATTGTATAACTTACTGCGGCTGTTTTGCAATAAAGTCAAAAAAATTATAAATCTCCATTCATTTTCGGGGCATAACATGTTGTTTACATATATTGTTTACGCTAGTGACAATTGAATGATACGAACAATAAGTATGCCGAAGGTACAATGTAATGCCGATGGTTGCACTTCAGAAAGCAAGTCAAAGTATTCGGAATATTTAGACTTCCAAAATAACGTTTATCAGAAAGAAAATGATTAAACTTATTATTAGAATAGTCTACTTAGCGGGAAATATCCACAAAAAATTAACACAAGAGAGCTAGCATTTTAATTTCATAGCGTGGTGCAACGAACATTTAGCTAGGTATTTCACCAGGGCTTCTTTCTTATATTATATGTCCCTTAAGAATCTGCAGTGATCGATCTCATAGAGTGTAGTCAATAGCTATAGCACATTGTCCTCAGCTATTAATCAACGTTTCCTACCTGCAACGCAAAAGAGTTTCATTACGTTAAGTAATAGCGATATAAAGTATTCTTCTTTTTGTTTGAAATAGGTTAAACTACCCTTATGGCATGAGGTTATATAAAACTAAAATTAGTCGTACTTTAAAACACTTAATAGGTGATGATTAAATTAATAAGCCTTGGCAGTTATTTTTAATTAAAACAGTTTAACGATTCGAATGTAGTTGCAAGTACTTCCATGACCAGTCATAAAAGGTGTTTATCCTTTTTTCAGGGAAACTTCGAGCAGGTTTAGTCAGAATTGGATACGGCATATCATGCCCATATGTTTTATTATTTGTAGAATACAAAATTTAAATCTCATTCACTACAATTGGGGAGCAACCGCTAAAGCACATTTGCCACCAACATGCAGGGGGGTTATTTTAGCTTTGAAACGCTGGCTAAAAAATGTACATGTTTAGGCATCCATTAAGTAGTTGTTACAAGGCTCACATATTTTTACTTTCTTTCATTTCAATGATTTATTTTTTTTTTTTTTTTTAATTTTACTATGGATTATAGTTGTTTGATAAATTGTGAAGAGGAAATATGATTTATGCAGCTGGGGAAATGAGAAGGGGGGGTTAAGTACACAAATATTGTTTTTAAAAGTATTCTAAGTTCAGAGATGACGTAAATATCTCGTTTTTGTTCAATTTGGGTCTGATACACTCCACACTTTTTAGTACAACTATAACCAATACTTGCAAAGATAGTTTAAATTTTTATAAAAGCCATAAAAATGCGTAACAGGAGTAACAACCTAGTAGGTAAGTAATACAATAAAATAAACCAACGGGACAGGGAATAGAGTGCAGGTATGGATCCACAATTTTAGATTAAACCGGGAATTATTTTATTCTCACAAGTCCATAATTGCATTTCAACACATATAACGGAATAGGTCAATGACCGTTGACGATTTAAATTCATATTTTGTTTTAATGCATTGAATAGTAATTGACTAATAAGTCACTTGTTTTATAAGTTGTATTGGTGAATGAGCAGGCCCTGGTCGACGGTGACCATTTGCGTTGAGGTACTGCCGCCGTCACCATGGTTCTTGGCACCCCCATTGGTGGCGGTTGCAGTTCCATTCTTACTCGTGGTAGACACGAGTATTCATGGCCCTTGCAAGTGGCGTATTCCGTCGCACCTCAACGCAACTGGAGGAGTGCAACACATATTCTTACGCTCATTCCATTGTTTATCCTATTGCACATGTAAATTGAAATTCAGGATTTGAATTTGTGCATTGGCTTGTAATTGACAAGCAGTTGACTTGATTGATATTGAATTGATTGATTGAATGATGATTGATTGATTGAAATTGATTGATTATTGATTTATTGATTGAACTTGATTTATAATTGAATTGGTGACGTTCATGCACTTGTGACCTACCCAGTGCATGATCCGCCCGATTTGGGTCGTCACATTTGTTGTATTGATTGTTGATTGTGGGGCAGCCCTGTGGTAGCCCCAGCAAATTGATCACCGCGGCCAGAAGCGCCACATTAAACAAGCAAAATAATATCTGTTGTTTGTTTGATTAATAGGGAATCTGTAATAATACCACTTATACGAGCCTGGTCTCGGATAAGTGAGTTTATTTCAGTAACCCTAGTAATTTTTATCTATTCCGGATAAGTTACGTACATTCGGATAAATATAAATTTTCACCCTTAGTCACAAGCTATCATTCCGGATAATTTAGGTCCATTTGTATATAGTCTAATAATAAGTTCTTTTCTACCTCCTTTCTAGAAGAATCAATTAAACGGTAAGGTCATGGAAAATTTTTGGGAGTTAAATTGTGGCAATGTTTTAAATTTTACCCACCCACCCTCCTCTTGTTTTTAGAACAAATACTGCTGCTTTTTGTTATGTCATTGTAGCTGAAGACTGCCTGCTTCGCCCAGCTTCCACAACAGCCTATGTCGCGGTGGTGGATTATGTGTGTTCGGATATTATATGTACGTAGGGACGGCTTGCTTGGTCCAGCACCTACATCAGCCGATGTGCCGATGGTGAATTTTGTGTGTTTGCTCATTCCGTAAATACAGCCTGATTGGTCCAGCGTCCACATCAGCCTATGTCAAGGTGGTGAATTCTGTGTGTTTACGTATTCCGTGATGACTGCCTGCTTGATACAGCGTCCACTTCAACCGATGTCGCGGTGGTAATTCTGTGTGTTTGCGTATTCCGTTGCACCTCAACGCAGCTGGAGGAGTGCAACACATATTCTTACGCTCATTCCATTGTTTATCCTATTGCACATGTAAATTGAAATTCAGGATTTGAATTTGTGCATTGGCTTGTAATTGACAAGCAGTTGACTTGATTGATATTGAATTGATTGATTGAATGATGATTGATTGATTGAACTTGATTGATTATTGATTTATTGATTGAACTTGATTTATAATTGAATTGGTGACGTTCATGCACTTGTGACCTACCCAGTGCATGATCCGCCCGATTTGGGTCGTCACATTTGTTGTATTGATTGTTGATTGTGGGGCAGCCCTGTGGTAGCCCCAGCAAATTGATCACCGCGGCCAGAAGCGCCACATTAAACAAGCAAAATAATATCTGTTGTTTGTTTGATTAATAGGGAATCTGTAATAAAGATATGTAATAAATAATTCATACTTCTTCAAATTGATGCATGTAATTAATATTAAAAAAATATTGGTTACCTGAGTTCAATAAGAGGCAAACATTGAGAAAAAAATTAAGCTGATTTGTCTTAAATGTTATGGATACATATTATGTGTGCATTTCAAAATCGAAAGTAAAATTTTTTTCGGAAATTTGGAAACGCCATTAAAGCAAATGCTCATACTTCCCCGATCTTTAAAAGAACATATATATATATATATATATATATATATATATATATATATATATATATATATATATATATATATATATATATTATGTATTTTGCATGTTTGGATACTTTTGTCTTTATGTAAATCGTACTAATCACAACCCACTACCGATCAAAGTAGAAAAGACAATAAATTGAATAGGTGACTGTTTTTACATCTGAGACTTTGGAATTATCATATGGCAGTGAAATATTGAAGACATTTGACTTCACTGGTTAAGGTCGGAAATGAAAGCAGCCTACAGGTTTTCAAACTTGAGAAAGGAGTCCCTTTCATATTGCTTAATTACTTATATTAGTGAAATAAGTTTTATTGTAGCATATATAACGTTTTACAGTAAAAATACACACACAAATTCATCTGAATATAAATGCCATTTTTTATTGAAAGTAATTGATTGTTTTTAGTTTTACGTCATTTGCAAGAATTTTAACTCATTCGAGACGTCGACACTTTCCAGTAATGAGCTTCAAATTAAAACCTATGTATGACACTTCTGGCCATGACTAGAACAAGGGTTCTTTATCGTGCAAACGCTTACTATGACACGGGTCCTACGGATCGTATCAAAAAGACCCATGTTTTTACTTCTAGGGTCGGGAAAGGAACAAGGAACAGTCACGATTTATGTTATTTGTATGTATTTATTAAATTATTCAAATAATGAGAATTCTACTGTGAAAAAGTATCAAAGTGATTTTTCCACATTATTAGAAAATATTAAAAGTGTGACGAAACTGTAAATTTTGAGTCCTTTCAAAAAGAGTTTTCAGAGAATACTCCTTATCTATTATAAAAAAGGGGGAATAAACATACAATTTTGAAAGAGTCCAGAAGTACCAACGTTTCTCCATTTTCAATCTCAGTATCGCATAGCAACTAAAGGGCAATACATGTATGCGGTAAAAACGTATTTTAGACCTATAAAAGCCAAGTTTTGAAAATCTCTAGAATGTGCACAACTGTATATATTGTATGAAAATCAGAAATTATTTCTCTGTGACGTCACAAATCATTTAGATATTCCGTTAATTAAAAAAAGAAAACACAGGACACAAGTCCTTCAATTTTAAGCATAGATTTTAACAAACACAAGCTTGCCTTTGAACAATATTCACATGCATGTATTTCATTAATGTAATAATTCTGCACATTATGTCAAAAGATCGAACTGTTGCAGAACTGCATTCCATGAGTTTTAGTCAAAGTAATGATGTAAAATATACCCTTTTCTTTCAAAGTCATTGAAAATCTGAATTTACGTCATATTCTTGACGACATATCTAACATCATTGCTGATAAGAATAGTTTATGCACTCAAGTGTGCGGATATCCACTCGTTTAGAACATAATTATACATTATACTATCAAAGTTTTATTGTGGAGTCAAATACTGGTTATTATACTTTAGTATAAAGTCCTTTCATTTCCATGCAACTTCATAATTGAATTATTCCAATCTTAACCTTTTTATTGATTTCCTGTGTTTTGATTGGACGAGAACAAATTCAAGAAAAGTTTACACATCGATTAATCAGAAATAATTTTGTGGCCTAGCTTTTATTGTAAAAATCGAAAGAAATCGTTACTTCTTGGCTGTTTTAACTAAACGAATACAGAAACTTGAAATTAAATAAAATCAAAACTGACGACATACAGGACTGTATATAACGCATTCCAAAATCAAAACAGAAAATCTTTTTTTCTGTTTTAGGCATTTTGCCCTTAGGTATTGACAAAATCTAACAAAAAACACAGCTTTATAAGATGTTTATTGATAAGATTGTGAAAAATCAGCATTTTTCGAATAGAATTACGATCTAGTGTCACAAACAAATTGAAATGTAAATATACAGAGGAAATATTGAAAATTTAGCAAGATTTTACGGGGTAAATTTCCCCCAAAAGAAAATCACTGATTCACATTTTAAAGATAGCAAAAGTCTACAGGGTAAATTTCCTCTCAAAAGTTAAATTGATACAGTTTACCTACAGTATTTCAAAGCAAAAGCAACCATCTTTTAGATAGCAAGACTTTACGGGGTAAATTTCCCCCCAAGGAATATCACTGATAAAGTATTCACTCTCTCATAAAAGTGAACATTACACTTTGAAAATCGCAGAACTCTACAGGGTAAATTTCCTCTCAAAAATGACATTGATTCAGTTTGTATACAGTGTTTGAAAGCAAAAGCAACCATCTTGATGATAGCAAGACTTTACGGGGTAAATTTCCCCCCAAAGAAAATCACTAATACAGTATTTATGATTCGCAAACATTGTGAAGATGGCAACAATCTACAGGGTAATTTTTCTTTCAAAAATGAAATTAATACAGTATATACACAGTATTTCAAAGCAAAAGCAACCATCTTTTAGATAGCAAGATTTTACGGGGTAAATTTCCCCCCAAAGAATATCAATGATACAGTATTCACTACTCGTATAAAAAGCGAACATTACACTTTGAAAATCGCAGAACTCTACAGGGTAAATTTCCTCTCAAAAATGACATTAATTTAAATACAGTGTTTGAAAGCAAAAGCAACCATCTTGATGATAGCAAGACTTTACGGGGTAAATTTCCCCTCAAAGAAAATCACTAATACAGTATTTATGATTCACAAACATCGTGAAGATGGCAACAATCTACAGGGTAATTTTTCTCTCAAAACTGACATTAATACAGTATATACACAGTATTTCAAAGCAAAAGCAACCATCTTTTAGATAGCAAGTCTTAACGGTGTAATTTTCCCCTCAAAGAATATCATTGATACAGAATTTATGCTTCACAATATCTTGGCGGTAACAAAAATCTACAGGGTAAATTTCCTCTCAATTTATCTTATACGTAGGAAAAGCGAAGTTTACACTTTGAAAATCGCAGAAAACTCTTCAGGGTAAATTTCTTCTCAGAGACGATATAGATACAGTTTATATACAGTAATTCAAAGCAAAAGCAACCATCTTTTAGATAGCAAGAATTTACGGGGTAAATTTCCCCCAAAAGAATAACACTGATACAGAATTTATGCTTCACAATATCTTGGCGGTAACAAAAAACTACGGGGTAAATTTCCTTTCAAAAAATATTATTGATGCAAATTATATTATACGTAGAAAAAGCAAACATTACACTTTAAAAAAAGCAAGTATCTACGGAGTAAATTTCTCCCCCAAAAGCATCAAAGATACATGATATATTATATTGAAAGCATGAACAAACATTACAACTTGATGATAACAGGACTTTAGGGGGTAACCCCCCCCCCCCCCCCAAGAATATCACTGATACAGTTTATATTATTCACAGAAAAAACAAACATTACGTACATATTTAAAACAACGGAACCTTACAAGGTAAATTCCCTCTCTTAAGATAATTTGATACAGAACTGACTTTTTACAGAAAAAGCATACATTACATCTGTACATCTTGATGACAAAAAGACTCTCTGGGGTAAATTTCATCTTAAAGAATATCAATAATAAAATATATTATTCAAAGCACGAACAATATTACAACTTGATGATGGCAAGTTTCGATCTATGGGGTAAATTCCCCCTTCCCCCCAAAATATCTCAATGATAAAGTATACATTTTTCACAGGAAATGCAAACGAGGTCCTTAGACAAAAGTCCTATTTAAAAAGGAAATACATACTTAAAATCTTGATGCTAGCAACACTCTACCGGATTAATTTACCCTCAAAGAATATCAATGTCGCAGTGTTTTTTTTATAAAAAAGCAAAATCAATAAACATTACATCTTGATGATAGGAAGACTCTACACGTACCCCCTCCCCATCTTAACTAAAAATTTTCGGAGTTAATTTCCTCAGTATCTGACAAACTGTTCCGTTATATCGAGATTATGTAGTTACAGTTTAATTTTTTTTTTGATCAAACTAGTTTACAATATCTTCATCTCGCTGACATATTTTCAAAACTAAGAAATAGAGTATTAATTTTCTCTCAAAATCTTAGATAATTTTTTTTACGTCGGTACTTTTTATTAAAACCAATGCAGAAATCAATGTTACAAAGTAAATGTCTACAAATTTTGCTACATTTTTTTTTAAAATTGCATATAATTCACAGTTAGAGTTAATTTTAACGGTTACTTTTC